GGCGCCACGTTCACCGTCTTATTCAATAAAGCGATGCTGTTTATACCCAGCCTGGTCAGTTCTTGCTGTACCAAGTTGGATCGGACTAGCAGGTCCAACGGAACGGGTTCGCCTTTGGCTAAAAGCTTTATCTCCGCGGCCGTCTCCACTGGAAGGTCAGGGTGTCCAGGTATAGGATGTCCTGATTTGTCTAACCACCTAGTAAGTGGCAGCTTATCGTAGGTTTCTTTGTCCAGAAAGGAAAACCCCTCTTTGATCTCTGATTGGTTAGCCTGCTTCTCCTCGAGGCGCTCATAAAATTCTGTCTTTTTACTGAGGCTATCTGCGTTCTGGTGCTTGTCACGGGTACGGTGCTCTATGATCATGTGGTATCCATCCAAGCGCACGATCCAACGACCAATGTAGCTTTGATCCATCGAATAGGTTTTCAGCCAGGCAAGGGCACGATTGTCCACACGTAACTTGAATGGAGCACTCCCCAGGTAGGCCCTGTATTTTTCCACGAACGTGATCACAGCAAACATCTCCGCTTTTGGTGCGCCGTACTTCATCTCAGTGTCACTCAGGACTTTACTTCCATCAGCTATCGGACGAAGAACCGTTCTCCCGTTCCACTCCTGCTCTTGGTGAAGTATGCCTGATATCGCAACCACTGATGCATCCGTGTCCAGCACGAACATTCCCTTCTCCGTTGGCATGCCGAGGACCGGTGCCTCGCAAAGTTCACGTTTGATGTTTTCAAATGAGACTTGTGCCTCATCAGTCCAGGTGAACTTTTTGCCCTTGTTTCTCATCAATCTCTGCATGGGGTATATTTTGTCAGCATACCCCTTGATGAACTCACGATAATAATTGGCGAATCCCAGAAAACTCATCAACTGTGTATCTGTTTTAGGTGCCTTCCAGGTCAACACCGCTTCAACCGCTTCGGGATCTGGTCTCACTCCATGTTTGTCAACCAGGCGGCCCAAATACTTTATGGAATCAATGAGGATTTCACACTTAGAGGGTTTGCATTTCAGACCCGCCTGCTTCATGCAAGAAAACACCTCCTCCAACCTCTCTATGTGGTCTTCTAGGGTTGGTGTTGCAATCACAACATCATCGACATAACACATGATGAGATTCCCGTATTTCTTAGTGACGCTCGTGAGTGCCTGAGCCATCAGTCGCTGGAATGTGGCCGTCGCGTTGCACAATCCGAATGGCATCCTCTTCCACTGGAACAGTCCCAGCTCACACGCGAAACCTGTTTTCTCTCGATCTTGCTTTCTGAGTGGCACTTGCCAGAATGCTGAGCCCAAATCCAACGTCGTGAAGAACTTAGCGTCTCCCAGCTTGGATAGGCTCTCATCGATGCGGGGAATGGGGTATGCGTCTTTTATATAGTCACTGCGTTCAGATAACGGAAATCACAACAAAACCTGAGTTGCCCCCCTTTCTTTTTCGCCATGACCACGCCACAAGCCCATGGGGACTTCGACGGCTCAATCATGTCGTACTCCATTAACATTTCAATTTCCTTCCTACACGCTTCTGACTTATTTGGGGTCATTCTTCTCGCCCCTTCCCTATGAGGTACCGAGCCCTCTTCTATCTCAATCTCGTGCTCTATAAAATTGCAACAACCTATATCGGCCTTATGCTTTGAAAAAACGTCTGCGTTCCGATCTAGCACCGCCCTGAGCGAATCTAGTTCCTTGTCAGATATTTTACCCTTCAGATGTTCTATCTCAGGTAGGACAGGCCTATTCGCTGCTAACTCTGCTTCCGTCGGCCTCTCAGGAAAGTTGGAACAACTAGACAGCCCATCATCTGTTTCCGACTTCATTGAAAACAATTTCCTAGAAGATTTCAATTCAATTACTCTTTTAATTATACATTCTTGGTTCGCATGTAATGGACATTTAGTTACGTCAAACTTCTTCAAGTTCTCCACACTCAGAAAGTCTGTGTTCAGAGGCAAAGCGTAGCCAAGTTTCTTTCCCCTCTGTATTGTCACTGTTGTTGCTTCTGTGTTCAATAACACACTCACACACAGTCCGCTCTGAGTGAGGGAGAAGCTTCTTCCTAAAATAGCCGAGCTTTTACTGTTTGGATTTGGTACCAGACACACCTGTCTGTCATTGCTGAGTTCATTCAAGTTCCTCATCCTAATCGTCGCTACTACGGCTTGGTTCGGTTTTAATCTAACTTTTCGATCCAGAAAAATCGGCACCTTGGCCTGATTAATTAAGATCTTATTAAGGGGTCTTTTCTCATACTTTCTTTCAGGATCCTTGATCCTAATCAATCCGTCATTGAGATCAATCGTGACGTCAAAGTTGCGAACGAAATCCCTTCCTAGGATGAACTGGTCGGATTCATCCAAATTCTCTACTACTAGGAAGCTCATCCAAAGATGACTTCCTCCAAGCTGCAGTTAGATGATCGGGGTTCGTCCGGCGACATAGATCGCTCCCTGATTGGCAGCTGCCAACCTGATGTTTGTCGGTATGAGATCCGATCTTTCGAAACCCATGTCGGTCCAAGTTTTGACTGGCATGACACTAACTACTGCTCCCGTGTCTAGCAGTCCCTTTACTGAAAGTTGTCTGCCTTGCACGTCCAGAACGTGTGCGGCCAGATCTGCCTCGCAACCAATATGCACAGCATCTTGTTCGAGCATCGCGTTGTGTCCGATTCGTCTGACCTTCAGCTCCTCTTGACCAATGTATATCCGGCCAACCTGATCGTTCGCATCAGTTATGTGAGCTTTCGTGTAGATATTGATGCCATCCACGTTCATCAGAATCGGGTAAGGGCCATGGACATCGATATAATGTCCGTCCACTTTCATCAGCCTCGGACCTCCCGTTGTGAGCAGCGCTCGCACTGCCCTGGAGTCCAGTTTGGGATCCTTCTCCTTCAGGTAGTCGGCATAGATGTCCAGGTGGACCAGTGTAATCTCGGATGGCTCGCTCAGGTTCTTGACCACCTGGTGCCCTGCGACTGAGATGATAGACATTATTTTGGTCCCTGCCTTCGTCATGCCGAAAGTCTTGCCAGATATAACGTTCAGTTTTAGTCCCTGTTTCTTGGGCTCTTTTTCATCTTCTGCTCTTGTCGTCTTACTCAGGACATTAAGACTTTCCCGAAGATCTGTGCTCTCCAGCTCCGACCTTACCCATTGCTCCACTTCTTTCGTGGCAAGGTCCTGTTTGACATTCTGCAGCGCTGTCCTTGCCGCCAGGCCGTAATCCACCTTGAGTGGACTAGACGACTCTGCTTCGAGGTTCGAGGCTACCACCTCGTCAGGCCATGTCTTAACCTTTTTGGTCGCAAAGGTGCTCGGTGTCGTTTCCTTTCTCCGAGATTCAGCCTCGTTCATCAGACGTGCTCGACTGGCCTTGACACCCGAAAGCGCCTCTTCGTGGCGGGGATGTTTCGCGTCCGCTACTGAGTCCCAAAATTGAGTAAAATCCGACTTGAAGTGTCCCTCCAAATTACAGAAGAAACACCTCGGACCATATTTCATGATGAGCCCCCTGACGTACTCCCCATGATCCTCGTCGGTCGCGTCGGCGTCCTCAAGAAAGTGGCCTATGGCCTTCATGTTCTGTTTGTATGCAGAACACGCAGAAACGTGATGGTCCATCGAACCACAATTCGCGCACGACCTCCTCTTGTCCATGTCATCGCGAGGTTTGTACCAACTGGAATTCGCACCAGTGTTTGTCCCGCTATAGTTGCCATAATGGCTGTAACGGTTTTGCGCCCTCGGTTTTATGAGTAAATACTCGCGTGACTTCATACGCAAGTCGTCGGACGTGGGTACCTGGTCAAGCGACAGGGTGAAGTGAGTGGCCAACATCGTCTTCAGCTCCTCACTCCTTACTCCATCCATAAACTTCGAAGCAATCGCCAAGTTTCGCTCGGATATTCTCTCATCCGGGTTGCTTCTCCTCCTGAGCAATTCAAGGTCGTCCAAGAATTTATCTATTGATTCTTCATCTCTCTGACGCCTCTTCTCGAACTTCACCATGGCCTGGTGCCCTTGTACTCCAGAGCCGAAACGATTCAGCAGGATGTCGAATATCTTGCGAGCGCTGTCTCTCTCATTGGCTCTTTTCGCCATTACACAATTTAATGCAGTACCCTCCAGGTTGCTCGTCAGCGCGCTGCACTCTTGTTTCTTGGAGAGATTCTCTTCCTCAAAGTGTAACTTCATCACCTCTATCCAAGTATCAATGCAGCCGTCTGACTCGTCTTTATATGACTTCGGCTTTTTCAGTGTTCTTCTTGACCTCTCTCCTCTCTCGGTTGACTTCGAGAGCTTGGTGATGAATGTTTCAAGAGATCTGTTCAGAGGCTCAAACATCGAGGCATACATCGTTGTGTCTTGCGAGACTGTAGTCAGATCTGGTACTGAACTGACTTGTGGCACGGTTGGCAATCTTGTCTCCGGGGTGGCATCTGCCTCCGGCGGTACTGGATTCGTCCAGCCAGGCCTCTGCGGGGCTGCCCTTGGCCGCTCCTTGTTTCTATGTTCGTAGTTCGTTCTCGAGCCCTGCTGGGCTCTGGCACTGTTGCCCGTACCATCTCCAACATTCGCATGGCTTGAGCGCTCCCTTGAGTTGGAATGCTCCTGCCAACTACTCCCATTCAGGATCGCGTCAAGCTTCCGCATCATCAAGTCAGATTTGGCGTCTAACCTCTTCTCCAGGCCAGTCATCGTTTGGGCGTAGGTATTATCATGATCATTCAATAATCGCTCGATCTCTCTTGTCATCCTTGCCTCTCTTTCCTCTGACTCTTTGTTTGCCTGTGCCAGGCTCTCAGCCAGGCATTGATCGGTGTTATGAATCAATTGAGCCTGATCAAACCTCGCCTGCGACTTCACGTGCGTTAGCTCGTCTCTCAGATTCTCTTGACCCTTGTGAGCTCTCTCATCCACCTGATCTATTCTTTTAGTCATGTCCCGTCTCAGTTCATCCAGACCATTCATTACGCCAGCGAACATGTCACTTATGTCGCCAGTGGCCCCACATGACGGGGTTAGTCCCAGCGAAGAAGAGGTCAACGGCGGCTGCAGCCTGGTGCTTGATGACGCACCGCCTCTTAGCTTGCTCATCGACGTCATTAATCTGTCGAAGGTTGACGACGCTCCCATCGTTATCCCATCTGACATGGGCCTGGTCGGCGAGGTTGATGACGCCTTCCTGCTCATATCATTCCTTGGGCACGGTGTGAAGTTCACATCCGGATGGGTTATCTCCGGGTAGTCATCACTGGAAGTCAAACCTACAGTTGGTAGTGACGCCATGCGTTCGTCGTACAAGGACTTCCAACTCTTCTTGGCCTTCGAGAACGTCTGCTCTTCACCCGGACTCATATTCGACATCATCGCGTTGTTACTCTGTTTGGCCAAGGATGAGTGTGCACTTGTCAGATGTGAAGGTTCCTTTCTCCATTTATAGCTCTTAGTCTCTGATTTGGACATTCCCCTGTACAACACTTCCTCCCGAGGTTCGACCTCGGGACGCTCCGAGGTCTCCTCTGTCTTCTCGGCTTCCTCCCGTTCGAGGACCTCGTCTGGCTCAAAGTCGGGTCGAATGAGCGTTCGCTCCCCTTCGTCAAAGGGATCCACCAGCGTTTCGCTCGCAGGCTCGGCCTCGGCGCTCCGCCTTTGATTGCCATCGAGGTTTTTCTCGCTCCTTAGTTTCATTTCGCTCACTGAAAGATCAGGTTGACCCTTAGTCGATTCGTCTTCAGCAAACGCGTCGGAAGCGCTGCTAAACGAGGTTTGGCTACGCCTAGTTCTAAACTTCCGCGTGCTTCCCTTGCTTAGCCTGGGAATTTTAGTAGTCGATCCTAGCGAGTCCCTGCGTTGCATAGTTTTTATCAAAATGAAAGTATTCGTAATTTGATGGCAATGCAAACGTACCACAAACAAGATTTAGTTAAATCACTTAACGCTGCCTACTCGATTCCGTCAGTATCAAAATGTCTCTTAGATCTCTCACGACTAAATTAGTGACTCAGCTAAAGTTACACACAGAGTCTACCCAGTATTGATATAATGCTAACTCAACCCGGTTGTATAGTATAACAGTATCACTAAGTTTCCACAAGATATAATCGACACACAAAACACAATCGATAATCAGATAAGAATATCCTACAGGTGACAGCGACCTTTTGTCAGTATCAATTTATCGCCACACAATTTATCAAGTCACTGCTTTGTTAAAATTAAACAATCTTCGATAAAAAGCAGTGATGATTCAGAAATAGATAAATAAAACTTAGTCTTAAAGAAAAAGACTTCCCCCAATCGGAACGATCCGAAAGAACGAAGCCCAGGACACAGTCTTCTCAAGTGGGTGTGTATTTGCCTAATACACCCACCGAGGTCTTCTTTTGGGTGTCCTGCGATTGCCCGAGCTGTCCTACTAAGTAGCTCAAGGCAACCTCTTGGTCGAAAATTCGTCAAATCTATGAAAAAGCTCTCCCACACTCGGACTGCTCCAAGTGCACGAGAGTAGGGAACAATTCTTCTTCTCAAGTGGGTGTGTATTTGCTTAATACACCCACCGAGGTCTTCCTTTATTTGTTCCCGGATTGCCCGAACTTTCCTATTAAGTAGCTCAAGGCAACCACTCAACCAAAATCACAATCAAAAAAAATCTTGTTCGGGTACTTCTAATACACCCAATATAAACTCCAAAGTTGATCACGAATTTCCGGGTCAGAATGGGTTCTTATGACCCTGATAAGCACGCCTAATATCCTAATATGATCCTAATTAAATGGATATTTTCCGTTTCCCAAATTGCCACAGAAGGTTTACTCAAGTCTCTTACAAGGAGGGTCGCTAGAAGGTTTAAGACACTCCGGAGGGTTACCTCGGAGGGTACCTCAATCACTCAAGTTACTTAGGAGGGTATCTTAATCACCCAAGTTACTTCGGAGGGTCCCCCTAAATTTACTAAGGAGGGTCAATAAGATGCTTAATACGCTCCGGAGGGTCACTTCGGAGGGTACCTCCAAAATTTTCAAATTTTCTGATCTCACTTGGAAGGTTCTCCTACTAGCTTCAAAAAGCGTCAAAATAAGCTAAGGGTTCTAGGGGGAGCTGTTTCAACTTCTTAGGGTGATCTCGTGGAAATTTTCCACTAAGGAGGGTTGCTAAAGGGTTTAGCTGACTCCGGAGGGTCACTTCGGAGGGTTCCCCCAAAGTCAAGAAAAAAGGTTAAATCACCGCAGTAAAGCCTCTGAACAAGATTTAGTTAAATCACTTAACGCTGCCTACTCGATTCCGTCAGTATCAAAATGTCTCTTAGATCTCTCACGACTAAATTAGTGACTCAGCTAAAGTTACACACAGGGTCTACCCAGTATTGATATAATGCTAACTCAACCCGGTTGTATAGTATAACAGTATCACTAAGTTTCCACAAGATATAATCGACACACAAAACACAATCGATAATCAGATAAGAATATCCTACAGGTGACAGCGACCTTTTGTCAGTATCAATTTATCGCCACACAATTTATCAAGTCACTGCTTTGTTAAAATTAAACAATCTTCGATAAAAAGCAGTGATGATTCAGAAATAGATAAATAAAACTTAGTCTTAAAGAAAAAGACTTCCCCCAATCGGAACGATCCGAAAGAACGAAGCCCAGGACACAGTCTTCTCAAGTGGGTGTGTATTTGCCTAATACACCCACCGAGGTCTTCTTTTGGGTGTCCTGCGATTGCCCGAGCTGTCCTACTAAGTAGCTCAAGGCAACCTCTTGGTCGAAAATTCGTCAAATCTATGAAAAAGCTCTCCCACACTCGGACTGTTCCAAGTGCACGAGAGTAGGGAACAATTCTTCTTCTCAAGTGGGTGTGTATTTGCTTAATACACCCACCGGGGTCTTCCTTTATTTGTTCCCGGATTGCCCGAACTTTCCTATTAAGTAGCTCAAGGCAACCACTCAACCAAAATCACAATCAAAAAAAATCTTGTTCGGGTACTTCTAATACACCCAATATAAAATCCAAAGTTGATCACGAATTTCCGGGTCAGAATGGGTTCTTATGACCCTGATAAGCACGCCTAATATCCTAATATGATCCTAATTAAATGGATATTTTCCGTTTCCCAAATTGCCACAGAAGGTTTACTCAAGTCTCTTACAAGGAGGGTCGCTAGAAGGTTTAAGACACTCCGGAGGGTTACCTCGGAGGGTACCTCAATCACTCAAGTTACTTAGGAGGGTATCTTAATCACCCAAGTTACTTCGGAGGGTCCCCCTAAATTTACTAAGGAGGGTCAATAAGATGCTTAATACGCTCCGGAGGGTCACTTCGGAGGGTACCTCCAAAATTTTCAAATTTTCTGATCTCACTTGGAAGGTTCTCCTACTAGCTTCAAAAAGCGTCAAAATAAGCTAAGGGTTCTAGGGGGAGCTGTTTCAACTTCTTAGGGTGATCTCGTGGAAATTTTCCACTAAGGAGGGTTGCTAAAGGGTTTAGCTGACTCCGGAGGGTCACTTCGGAGGGTTCCCCCAAAATCAAGAAAAAAGGTTAAATCACCGCAGTAAAGCCTCTGAAAGCGGTCTACCTGACTTAAAACTAGGTTGGCTGACACGGTCAACCTTCCCAGTTTAATAAAAAGATGTTTTGATAAAATTTTCTGCCGCTCGGAGGGTTGCCCGTTATTTGGACCCTCCGAACCAACAAATTCTAAAGAATTTTTCTTTTCCGAAATAATCAACCCAAAAACGGTTGCGATTCGGAAAAGTGGTCAAAAACGTCGACTTATGGTACCAAAATTATCCCGATCGGATAACTAGTCTTTGAGAAATCGCCAAAAACGCGTTCGTGAAAATGGCCTTTTTTTCACCACCTATATAGGTTCTGAAAGACTTTTTCCGCAATTCCGGTCAAAAGTGCCTAAAAATACTTGAAATGAGCGTAGCAGCCCTGTACGGCACTGGAATAATGCAAAAACCGGACCAAATTGGTTTAGAAACAAAAATTTGGCCAAAAACTATCAAATTTGGACCCTCCGATTCCTTCCTTTTCCAAACCTTAAGTCGTTAGCTCTATCCACGGAGCTACTCGAAGGGTTACCCAAAAATTTCTCTGGTAACCTAGCACGTTATGCTAGCACGCTCCTAACGCAAAAAATTTTATTGCTCTAACTCTAAAAACTCAAAAACTCGATCCCCAAAACAGATTGACAAAATACAGAAAATTATCAAAATTTTGGTCGAAAAATTCTCGTTTTTCTAACTTCTACTGAATCTTTGCTCACGCGGTTTCTTTAATAAAGGGGATCGAACTACGTGGCTACTCTCTATATAAAAGCTTTTTGCCTATCGGAAAAGCTCGGATATCCGAAAATTTGGGGGTCTACAGTTTGGTCGAAAATTGGTAATTTTCGACAAAAAATGGGTGTTTCTTGGGTCTAAATAGGAGATAAGTAATATATAGTAAGGACAATAATCTATAAATAGTCGCTAATAAATAGTACTATACCCTCCTTTGCACCAAAATATTCGAATTAAGACCCTTAACTCGGAAATTTGTAATCGATGGAGGGTACAATCGGACCGCGCCAATCGTGCCCCCCACCACTTAAGTTTTAAAGAATTAGTACCCGAACGATACTGAAATTGCTTCAACGATACCCAACAGTCGTTGCGGATGTTGTCCTTGATGTCCCTGTTGAGTGTGGAACACGTTGATCAGCTTGCCACTCTACCCTCCGGCCACCGGCAAAATTACCATTAACGTGCTTAAACACTCAAATTACACTCGAGGGAGGGTATCCAACCCTTCACCAAAACACACAATCTTTCTATCAGAAACGATATAAATCAATCTGAAACAACAACAAATAGGAAGGTCAGATCACATCTCGTCCGGAAATAACATATAAATTGTCACTTTATGTTTTTTACTGTTTTTGGTCTTTTTTGGATTTTTTTACTGTTTTTTGTACTTTTTTGTTTTTAAATAAATTTGTTTTTGGCTTTTTCTTGGTTATACACTATTTTTGTTTGGTTTTACGCTTTCTCTTTAATTGTTTTTGGTCCTGGGACCTCAGGACAAGCGGGCTCTAGATTTCCCACCTAACCCTCCGGCCCCCGG